TCCTTTCATTTCAAAGTTACATATTAGCTGCACACATTTTTGGAAAGTTTAGGAGCTCTCGAAGCTTTATTTTTATTCAGAGTAGTGAAAGGGACCAATACCATACCACCGGCATGTAACTTTGGCTTTCTAGGTTAGCTGAATTGTGTTTTGTAAGAGTTCAAACATTTTGGCAAACATAATCTTTAAAGAGTGTTCGTGGAATGGAAAGGTAGCTATTATATGAGTCTGGCTGGCATTGGGAGACAGAACTTTTTAGGAATAGTGTAGTACGGCATAACATGCCTGACTCTCTATCACGTGAGTTTCAGCTGGGGACTGGCTATTATGCATTTAGTTTTTGTGGTGATATTCATTTCCCCCAATGCTAGTATAGTACCTTACAGAATAACTGCTCCCTCTCACACTGTTCAAACCTGATGTTTAACTCCAATGAGCAGAATATTTCTTGAGAATCTGGTAGGCTGTCAGCTGCTCAAAAATTTCCTCACCTTTTAGGAATCAAGAGGCTCATTGCTGTGTTGAAAGGTCAAGTCTGGACCTCGATCTGAGTCAGATTAACCCAGTCTACATCCTTGCACCCTATTTCCTTTAGATAAATTTCTTATTATCCTCCTATCAATGCCTAGCTTTCCCAAGCATTCTCTTCCCTTCAGGGTTTGTGCCCAAAATTTTATATGCATTTCTTAGCTTTCCCTTGTGTGCTATATTCCTTGCTCATTTCATCTTTCTTAATTTGATCACCTCAATATTTGGTGAGGAGTAAATCTATGAAGCTTCTCATTATTTCTGATCATAATTCCATTTTTTGTTTTACACTGTTTAATCTGTGCCACTGATACAGAGCTATTAAATAAATTTAAGTCAGACTCTACCGTGCACGTTTTTGTGTTTTTGTGTATATGCATGTGAATTTCATTGTTAGATTGTTTGGAGATACCTCAGTCACAATATTTCACAGGTGAGAAATAGATTATTAAGGAAGTTTATGGGTGCATATTGCTAATGTGGCATACACTTTGCAAGACTTGGATGTTACAGTTTGCCAAGTAAGCAAGTAGGTAGTTCAGACTGTTGGTTTTCAGAACCAACAGGCCACACCTCACCTAAGGTAACTGGAGATGGGCTGAACAAACAGAGAACCTATCACAAGAATGGCATTGCATTGTTGTGTGATGCCCAGGCATTCCCACCACCAATCATGAGGTAAGGGGGTGGTTATTGAATTACTCAAAACTTGATTTTCAACTACTTCTTTTAGACAATCGTTAAATCAGTCAGAGCAAACCTAGTGGCTGTTTTTTGATGAGCAATGCCCTGTTAGGGCTAAGGGATTTCTGGCATAGTGGTTTTGAATCCTGCTGAGAGCATGGATACTTATATATATCTTTTATTGCCTCATCCCCCTAAATCTTGAGGTTTGACATTGACTAACTCTGTGCACAGGAAAACACTTTTGTAAGACTTGAGGTTCTCACAGCGGTGAGTATAAAGATATCCGTCTTCTGGGTTATTGCGCTGTGTAGTCTGGTCGATGTTAACCAACGTTTCAGAGGTCATATTCATATTCATCGCCCTGATGACGGAGGCAGTATGACCTCTGAAACGTTGGTTAACATCGACCAGACTACACGGCGCAATAACCCAGAAGACGGATATCTTCAAAACACTTTTGACTTGCAAATCTTGAGAAATTACTACCTAGATTGAATTCTCTAAAGGAACTGCGGACAGATGCTCTGAAAAGAATTTTTTCAGAGAAACTGTTAATACGCAATAAATGTATAGATCTTAAAAATACTGATGATCCATAGCAGTTAGCACCTGTATAGTATTTATAGTTAAGATGGACATATTGCTGATATTTTAAACAGGTACGTAATGTGTGTATGTATGTATCAGTTCCAACAATAAGAAACATTTATTTAGTCAGAGCAGACAACTTTGTTTTGCTTTCTTACACAGTCAGCATCGGGTACCACTGTTCCAATAGACAGTTTTGATAAAAATATTGGAATTTTTATTTTTGTAATTTTCAAGAACCAACAAGTAGTGTAGCACCCAAGGTAACTGGCAGTAGGCTTCAAGAAAAAACATTGGACTTCGGCCAAGCAGGGACTGTGCTGTGTCTGAGCCAGGGATATCCTGTCCCTAATATTAGGCGAGTATCATTTCTTGCTGAGAGACAGTGTTTGTTATGACTGGTGTGTTCAGAATATGAGTGAGAGGGATTATTAATTTATTGAAATGAAAAGCCAGTATAGCGCGGTCATTGAATGACTGGCCACAGTACGGACAACCATATTCTGATTCCCCGTTTCAAAGATCCTGACTGTTTGCTGCTATCTTAAGGTGGAGACAGTCAGGAATACTGAATCAGTGGCAATATATTGTACATCTATACAGTGCCGCCACTCAGAAACAATATGCATGTTAGAATTGAACCACCGTGAAAGCCTAACATTTCTAGAGCAGATTAATTGCAAGCAAAAGGTTAATTTCAGTTTAGCAGATGGCAGTTGATCTCGTCATACTGCTATTATGTGCACCATTTTTGTTCTGTATATGGAAATACTTGGTCTTATATTTAGTGGCAATTTGAATAATTATATTGTACAAAGTTTGTATAAAAGGTAGCAGTAGCATGCAAACGTTGGTAATGAGTGGGATAAGATGCCCATACATCTAGCTAGAAGAAGGACATTTGTTTTCAGAACCAAATGGAGCCATGCGACCGAGAGTGACAAGTAAAACAATTGATGTTAAGGAGATCATTGCAGGGGGGAGGGTGGTCGCTTTGTGCCCTGGTCAAGGTTTTCCTGTCCCATTATATAGGTAAGAAGCCCTCTTTTTAGACAGTCATTGTTTGGGAAATTCTGGTATCATTTGAGAGTATTTTAAAACTTAGCCCTCTAATTATATTCTACAGTAAAATATAACAGCCAGTTGAGTGGCTAGGTCTCTTGCTTAGTGTTAGAAAGGTCCTGCATTTGAATCACAGAACTGCTCTTGTGAGTTCTTTATGATTTTCCAGTCCCTCTAGGCAGGTTCTGAGTAGTGACTTAAAGTTAGCCATGACAATCTCCTGATTTTTTACAGTTTAGTTGCAATCGTCTTTAAAGTTTTATGGTACCTAACCTATGAAGTTTAAGTGTGTTTAAATAGTCCACAAGCAAATCATATACTACAGTAAATAAGAGAAGCTGTGAAACTTTGAAAAATTAGAACATTTTTGGAATTTTGTTAGAGAAACCCTGCCCAATTATTCACTAGCTTGTTTTACAAATTTTTCAATGTTTGAGATTATTTGTGTTATGATGCATTGTCTTGTTTATTTTTCTAATAAATTTATGTGTTTGTAATAGGTGTATGTCCTTCCATGATGACAGCTTTATGAATCATAGTACTTTACTCATTCTTCATGTTTTGGAGGGCCACATTGTTCATATCTTGGCCATGAGACTTTCTGTCTTGGCTGGGATTTTCTTCAATACTTCCCATTATGTTTTGGGATTAATACCTTGCATTCCATGATCATTTGATATTTATTTTTAACACTTTGATATGCAACCTCTGAAGTAGAGAGCATCATTAAATGATCACATGTATGAACATGGTCACTGCTGTAAAAAAATCTCAAAACTTGACTCTTTTTGTGAAGCTTCAGTTTACTACAGTGTTTCTTATCAGCATGTTCTCATAGTATCACTCCTTCCATAGAAATATTTTTGAATTATTAAGTTCTTTCACGTTAGGATGTTTACTTTAATCTCTTTCGACTGCATGACATTGCAATCCGACATTCAGACTTGCATGACAAGTGTATCTTATAGGAACACTGTTGGATGTTGTCTGAATTGTGTTTGATATATACGATGTTTTGGGAAGTTATCACCAGTGGTCTGTATCATAGATCAAATAAATTTGATTTTAGTCCATGTTGGCCCCACATATACTCTACTATACATGAACCTGAAATCTAACTTCATAAATTCCCCCTAAAATACCCTTTCATTAAAAGTTTTTTCTGTTATTATTCAAGACTTATTAGGAACATTTTAGTTAATACCTAACTCAATAAAATACAAGGAAAACAGTTTCTGTCAAATGTATTACCATGAGAAGCCACGGTGGTCTAGCGGTTAGAACGCTGGCCTTGTAATCCTGGGGTCTCGGGTTCGATTCCCGGTGGTGCCCGAATTTATAACTTGTGTTGGGCAAGGCCGTGGTCTAGGCAACACGGAGTTTTCCTCCCTGGCATACAACAATTACTCCATTCACACACAGAAGAAGGCAATGGCAAACCACTTCTGGATCATCTGCCAAGAACGTATATGAACAGGTCCCAGTCCGAGAAAAGGAGGGAAGGATCCGGTTCATATGGAGAAGAAGGAAATGGCAAACACCTTCTGGATCATCTGCCAAGAACGTATATGAACAGGTCCCAGTCCGAGAAAAGGATGGAAGGATCCTGTTCATATGGACCTGTCGTCAGACAGAACACTAAATAAATAAATAAATAAAATAAAGTATTACCATGCCTGTAGTGTTTATTAGCTTTGCGACATGGATCTCTTGCATTAATTTAATGAACATCAAGGTCAATTATAAGTTGGACATTGTATATATTCTGTTGGAGTACACTGTTCTCCTCGTGTTACATTTAGGTCTTCAAAAGGTATTATATGAAATTATGTATCATATGATATGATACAATATGACATGACGTGATATATTATATGAACAGTGTGTATTGGTCCAGTGGTACTTTAATTGCAGTTAAACATTCAGATTCTCAGGTGGAAACTGTTTCTTTTTCATGTTGTTTTTTTAAACCTACCCACCCATCTGCATCAGCCGGTTTTACAGAAATATCGCATCAAAGTTGTCTGAACATGAAATAAAGAGGTGATTGTAAGGATGTTATATGGGAATGCATAAACTTATCTTACTTTTCATATGGCCTGTATGAATGAAGTGGTGTTTCTTGGTTGTTACAGGTGGTACAAGTTCATTGATGGCACAATGCGCAAACAAGCTGTAACACTGGATGACAGAGTGAAGCAAGTGAGTGGCACACTCATTATCAAGGAAGCCAGAGTAGATGATTCTGGGAAATATCTATGTGTAGTGAACAACTCTGTTGGAGGAGAGAGCGTTGAGACTGTTCTCACAGTGACAGGTACGCAAAATGTGATGAAATTTATACCTGAGTTTCTGAGTTCCTTTGTGTCATGTCAGAGATGAGGAGATGCTGTCTGACTGATGTTCAGGAATGCAGAATGGTGCTATATTAACATGTGACAGTGTGATTTGAATTTATGTATTCTTCATAATGACCAGTGTAGGTTTCAAGCTTATTGCTATTTGTATAGTAATTATGTTTGTTCTTAGTATTAGGAGTGAATATCCTCATTTACAGTTACTTTTTCTGTTACATATAAAAGTTTTATGGATGCATATTGAAAACAAGGTCATTATCCTCAGTTTTATAAATACGGGTCTGCGAGCTTTATTTCTTTCAACAATCTCTTCAATGCAACAACAGTAAGATTATGGGTGACAATAGTAGTAAATACACTTTATATTTACAAATATTTTTATTTCAAGTTAAACATGTTTGCACTGGGATGTCATTGTAACCAAAAAGTCTCACCTTGAAGATGGCTGTCTTCTGGGTTGTTGCACTATTTTGTGTGGTAGATGTTTTCTGATGTTTCAGAGGCAGCATTCACTTCTGAAATATTGGTAAACCTCTACAAGACAACATGTCACAACAACCCAGAAAAAAAGTCATTTTCATACTCACTGCTGTGAGAACCTATAACCTCGCACCTCATCTTATCTCCACCTAGGAACCAGCCTGGCTGCAACAGAAAGCCAGTTTACCTTTATAATATGGCGAAGTTGAAGTACAAAACATCCTTTCCTTAGGTTTGTTTTAAACTCTAGTTTGTTAATTACATTGCAGCCCCACTTGCAGCCAACATTGAGCCCACAACACAGACAGTAGACTTTGGTCGTCCAGCTGTGTTCACATGTAACTTTGAAGGTAACCCCATTAAGACGATCAGCTGGCTCAAGGATGGAAAATCACTAAGTCATGAGGAGTCAGTGTTGAGGATTGAGTCAGTGAAGAAGGAGGACAAGGGCATGTATCAGTGTTTTATTCGCAATGACCAGGAGAATGCACAGGCCAGTGCAGAACTGAAACTTGGTGGACGATGTGAGTTGCCTATACAAAGTACATGTAGAGATAAAAAAAACTAAGTTAATATATAAGTCTAAAATTAATACATAACTCTTAATTCTCTTGTTAACACATCCATATCTCAGGAGGCAAGCTTTTACATTGACAAGTAGTTTCTCAGAAACTACAATAGTGATTATGCTTAAACTTGCACAAGCTGTAGTACATATCTTTGGTAGAGTAGGTTTTGAGTGAAGAAGTCCCATTTCTGTTAGGAAATTTGACAAGAGGGCAAAAATATTAGAGGTCTACCATCCTGTCTTGGTCTGGTAAGCACAAGCGAACCCACATGATTATCAGAAGTTTCTAATGTGGAGATTTGATATTTGTGAAATAATTGAAAATTTAGGAAGAACCAGGAGAGAATCTGTAGACATTCCTGTATACTCCAGTGTATGTTATTTATTTAATGCATTGAAGTTCTTTAGTGTTAACCAGTTATCAGATGTGGAATTATCTCATGTAGATGGTTCTCAGTGTACTGATAGCAGTGCAACTGCACAATTTCATGTTTCATGTGTTAGCATATCATATCAAAACACAAAGCAATATTTACTTCAGCAAACTGATTTTTAACACAGAATTTAAGTTTTTTGTAATCTAACTTCATAGCTGTATATAACACTTCTTGTTACAGTTGAACCTCCTCAGATTCGACAGGCATTCAAAGAGGAGACCCTTCAACCAGGGCCATCAGTATTCCTTAAGTGTATTGCATCAGGTAACCCCACTCCTGAAATAACATGGGAATTGGATGGCAAGAAGTTGTCTAACAGTGACCGGTAAGCTCAACCTTTTGCTGTGCCAGTGTTTTATGATGATACGAGGCGCGTCCACAAAGTAAGTTTCCCACTCGTCCCACAGCTAGCAAACCTTACATTGCGCGAAGCGACTGTGCGTACGTGATAGAGCAATGACGTAGCATGGCGCATGCACTAACGGCACCTCCCGCGTTCTCACAGTAGCATCGTTGCAGCTGTTGAAGATGGAGGTTCTTATTCCAGCTCCCGCCGACTGTGAAGTGCGGTCAGTGATAACGCTAGGCCGCACACGGCTCGACAGACAGCGAGTCTCCTGCAGGAGTTCAGCTGGGAGGTGTTTAATCATTCACCCTACAGCCCGGACCTCGCTCCCAGTGATTTCCATCTTTTCCTACACCTCAAGAAATTCCTGTCCGGTCAGCGTCAGCGTCAGCGTTTTGAGAATGAAAGAGAGGCGGAGATGGTTGTCACACAGTGGTTCCAATCCCAGGCGGCAGACTTCTATGACACAGGTATTCAAAAGTTGGTCCCACGGTATGACCAATGTCTCAATTCCGGTGGCGAATATGTTGAAAAATAGCTGGACACTTGCTGTATCTGTTGCAATAAATATTTCCATGAAATTGTGTTTTGTTTCTGTAAACGGCCCCAGGGAAACTTACTTTGTGGACGAGACTCGTAGTTGGTAATTCCCCTGTCATTTGTCACTATGTAACCTCTGCATTTTAAACAGTTTTATTAAATCATCTGATTCATTAACATCTTAACAGATATGCATGTGTTACGCAGTTTGCAGGTTGGCCAGTATGTGACAGTGAACGGTGATGTTGTCTCTCATCTTAACATTTCATCCATACACACCAATGATGGGGGCCTGTACAAGTGCATCGCTTCATCCAAAGTTGGATCAGTTGAACATGCTGCCAAACTGAATGTGTATGGTCTGCCATTTATTCGCCCCATGGAGAAGAAGGCTATCGTTGCGGGAGAGATGCTGATTGTGACCTGTCCTGTTGCTGGCTATCCTATTGACACAATTGTCTGGGAGAGAGGTTTGTGAAGGTTTATTTTGTGTGTATATTTGCTTCACAATATTCATTCTCCTTTTGAGAAACCTAAATATTAAAATGTATAACTAACTAACTAGATGGCTTACCGAACCCGAAGGTTCATCACCGAATTAACCAAAGCCCTCCACCGGACCCTGTCCTGGGCCAACAAAATCCAGTTTCCTTCAACTCCTATCTCCCATAGATCCCGCCTGAGATTATCCTCCCATCTACGTCTAGGTCTCCCCAGAGGTCTCTTCCCCTCAGGCTTCCCAAATAGTGGACCCAACCAACCAGATGGCTTACCGAACCCGATTATCCTCCCATCTTCGTCTAGGTCTCCCCAGCGGTCTCTTCCCTTCAGGTTTCCCAACCAGTACCCGGTGCACACCTCTTGTCCCATCCATGCGCGCTACATGTCCCGCCCATCTCACTCTTCTCGACTTAATCACCCTCACAATACTGGGGGAGCAGTACAGATTTTTAAGCTCGTCATTGTGCAGTTTTCTCCACGCCCCATCGTCTTCCCTCTTAGGCCCAAATATCCTCCTCAACACCCGATTCTCAAACACCTGCAATCTGTGTTCCTCCCTCTGAGTGAGAGACCATGTTTCGCACCCATACAAAACAACAGGCAAGATTATTGTTTTGTATACTTTAATTTTCAGGTTCTTAGAAATCAGACGGGAAGACAAAATATTTTGGACTGAGAAGTAGCAAGCATTTCCGGAATTTAGTCTCCTCCTAACTTCCTCACAAGTATCATTTTGATTTGTTATTGTTGTTCCCAAATATTTGAACTTTGTAACCCTTTCAAAGGATTTATTAGCTACCCTAAGATAATTTTGCCCGCCTGTCTTCTGATGACGAGATACTAACATGTACTTAGTTTTTTCTGAATTTACTTCCAGCCCCACTTGTCTACCAGCCTCTAGTAAAACTTCTGCGTTCCTCTTTATTGTATTTATATCGTCCCCCAATAAATTAACATCATCAGCATATGCCAATAGCTGATGTGTCCCGTTCAATTGCAAACCCTCCTGCCTACCTTGGACCTTCCTGATGGCGTATTCTAGCGCAAAGTTAAAGAGCAAGGGAGACAAAGCATCTCCTTGTTTTAGACCGTTCTTGATGAGGAATGTCTCAGATACATATTTACCTACTCGAATTTTGCTGCAGGTTTCATTTAAGCACATTTTTATTAGACCCACTAGCTTCTTTGGTATACCAAATTCAATAAGAATATTATATAGCACTTCTCTCTTCACAGAGTCATAGGCTTTTTTGAAATCTATAAATAACTGATGTACAGTCCCACCGAACTCCCATTTTTTCTCTAGTATCTGACGAATGCAAAAGATCTGATCAATCGTTGATCTGTTTCGTCTGAACCCACACTGATGATCCCCAATAGTTTCATTCGCATATGGGGTTAATCTTGCCAAAAGAATGTTGGATAGAATTTTGTATGAGGTTGATAGCAGCGATATTCCTCGGTAATTACCACACTCAGTCTTGTCCCCCTTCTTATAAATAGGAATAATTATGGATTCCTTCCATTGATGTGGCATCTCTTCCTTATCCCAAATTAACTGAATAAGCTTATGGATCCTCATATGCAACCCTTTGCCACCTGCTTTAATTAATTCGGCCGGAATCTGATCAATTCCTGGAGCTTTATAACTTTTCAACTTCCCAATGGCTAGTTCCCCTTCATCTAAGCTAGGTTCTGGCACCAACAGTTCAGCTGTATGCATTTTAATCTGTCTAATATCACCAGTATTATGAACATTTAAGAGCTCGCTAAAGAAATTTTTCCCCCTATTCACAATTTTTATTGGATCTGCCAGCAAATTGCCACTATCATCCTTTACCAAATTAGTCTGGGGTTGATATCCTTTCTTAAAGTTATTAATGCCTCTGTACAGGTCTCTGATGTTTTTTTCCTTATTATTTGTCTCAAGTTCAGCAATTTTGCCCTTCAGGTATTCCCTTTTCTTAGTCCTAAAGGTTCTACTAGCCTCACGTCTCACGTTACATAGATTATCCGCATTTGTTTTGTTTGGGTTCTGCAACCATTGAAATGTATAATTCAATTCAATTAAACTATAATCATAACATTTATTAATGGGTGTAAAACTTGGCCTCTCAGCCTGAAAAAGAACATACTTGTTGTATACAATATTTTATTTTCCGTCTATACACAAACTTAAAATAATGTTGTTTAAAATTACTTAAAATTATAACATTCTCAGTAGATACTGCATCTTGTTACAAGATGCAGTATCTACTGAGAATGTTATAATTTTAAGTAATTTTAAACAACATTATTTTAAGTTTGTGTATAGACGGAAAATAAAATATTGTATCAATAAAACACAAACATGACGCAATTAAGATATAAAATACTTGTTGTATGTTAAGAGTCTCTGATAAAAAGTGCTGGGAATAATATTTTGACCTAAGAGAGACGATGCATTGAATCCTATTCCAGATGTAACTGACATTGTATTAGCTAACTTAACAGCAGTTTGGACCTGTGTACACAGATGGACGTGTGCTGCCAATCAACAGGAAGCAGAAAGTGTTTCCCAATGGAACTCTTATCATTGAAAATGTGGAACGGCTATCTGATCAAGCCACGTACACCTGTGTTGCACGTAACGCACAGGGTTACAGTGCACGTGGTACTCTTGAAGTTCAAGTCATGGGTGAGTACACTTTTTATTATTTTGTCTGTTAGAGCTGTGCACAAATAAGATGTTATTGCTCCATATTTGATGGACATCACCAGAGATACTGGAAGTGACTGAGACTGAACCTGATCCTGATCTTATATTAGTTCGGGCATCTGTATATTTTGTTTCCAGACTATGAATTGTGTGCCATTCAGGAAATCTGGCCTAATACAGGTCTTTACATATTTTTACAGTCACTGTAGAGGAACATTTACTGTGGCTCATGAAGATCAGTCCTCCTATCTGTGGCTGTTTGCAAATAATTGAGAGGCTACACATACTGTGATTGTTCACTTGAGAAAATCCTACTTGACATTTTTTATAAAATTGTTAGGATGACTAAATCAGGAAGGGTGAGGCCGGTAGGATGTGTGTGACACATCAGGGAATCAAGATCTTGCCAAAGTTAAATAGGAAACTGCAAGGGAAGATACCACTTAGGAGATTTAGGCATAGATAGGAGTAATTTAGGAAAACTGATCTTGGAGAACTTATTTGTATTGATGTAGACTGAATTCAGCTATCTGAGTTAGCATAAATTGGCGGGCTTTTTAAAATGGATTCCATGAAAACAAGGAATTAATGAACTGAGTAACAATGAACTTTACAGGGAAAATTCTATACCGTGGAGTTGTTAACAAAATATTGGCTTAGGATAGGATCCAGTGTTTAACTTTTCTGAACGTGCTCATTTGTCCAAAGAACATCCTGGACTATGGTTTTAGATAGGAATTGTGTCCTGTCTAAATGTTTTCTTTTTCATATACTAGATTTAATGTACTTATTGAGCTAAGTACAAAATGTTGTGTGACATACTCAGTATTAATGGTATTATCCACTGAATTGCTGTGACATTAGTAGTGTTCGTTCTCAGTCACGTTCCACACTTTGGTCTTCTGTCTGTATTTCAACATTGTGCACAGCTTATATTGTTTATATTGATTCTTGAAATGGTTTTTCATGGATGATGTCAGAAAATGGTTCTGTTCCTAGAAATTGATGTGGCTTGTTTCAAAACAGATGATTTTGTTCCAGGTGCCATGTACATATTAAATACTGTTACATGTTTTAAATAGATTTGTGTTTCTAAGTATGTACTGATTTCATATTGTTTATGAAGTGTAAATATTCCAATATCACGAGCCGGGATAGCTCATTCAGTATAGTGACTAGCTACGGGTTCGATCCCCGACGGGGGCAGAGGATTTTTCCTCTAGCCTCTGCGTCCAGACCGGCTCTGGGGCCCACTGCTAGCTTTGGCTCTCAGAGGGCTGTTACACCATGGATTATTATTATTATTATAACCTGTAATATGATCTTACTTGAAGCAAACCACAGCAATAAAGTTGCAACCATAAATTGTTTTATAGTTAATGGGTACAAAATGTAGGAAGGATAAGACATAAGAATTTGAATATAGATACACACAAGCTAAATTCCATCTAACATTTTTCTTCCTTATATGCAACTTTATCTTAGGCTAAGAATAAAATATTTTACAAATATAATGTCAATGTAGATAATAATTATAATCAGGTTTGGACCTTGCCAATCTCTACATTCAAAATAAGATAATCATAAAATTAATTAGACTAAGGACTTTATTCCTTTTTGAGGTTCTTCAGGATATTTGAATATTAATTAACTTTTTCCATGGATTGTATAAAAATGCCATATTCGTGTTTGCTTGACAGTCCTTCGTCATCTGTAAAATTTCACAAAAAGTTTAGTTCAGTAAAAATGCTTATAAAGCTCCAGTTAAGTAAGCCTGTGTCTCATCCGTGACTTTTGAGGTTTCATCTTTCGAAGATCTTCACAGGACCCTTAGTGCTGAAGGTAAAGTTGTAGCTGTGCCTAAGTATGGCACCATGAAGGCATATGGTGACGTAGGTAAAAAGTAAACATTTTAAACAATAATCTATTTGCCATAATTTAGACATCCATGTGATATTTGTTTTTTCACTTGTAAGTATAATTAATTTTATTTTTAAGATTGATGATTTTAAGATCATGATGCCATCTCTTCGGTATCCACATCAGGCTTTATGATGGGAAGAAAAATGAGACTTTAAGACTTTACTTGTTTGTAATTTATAACTTTTGATGTGGCTATAAAATTTGTTGAAACAAAAAAAAATCTCTGTTATATCACAATGTGTATTTGATGGAAAAGTTCTGTCCATAATGCACAGCATACTTTTGTTTGCAGTGGAGCTATTTTGTTGTATGTTAAGAGTCTCTGATAAAAAGTGCTGGGAATAATATTTTGACCTAAGAGAGACGATGCATTGAATCCTATTCCAGATGTAACTGACATTGTATTAGCTAACTTAACAGCAGTTTGGACCTGTGTACACAGATGGACGTGTGCTGCCAATCAACAGGAAGCAGAAAGTGTTTCCCAATGGAACTCTTATCATTGAAAATGTGGAACGGCTATCTGATCAAGCCACGTACACCTGTGTTGCACGTAACGCACAGGGTTACAGTGCACGTGGTACTCTTGAAGTTCAAGTCATGGGTGAGTACACTTTTTATTATTTTGTCTGTTAGAGCTGTGCACAAATAAGATGTTATTGCTCCATATTTGATGGACATCACCAGAGATACTGGAAGTGACTGAGACTGAACCTGATCCTGATCTTATATTAGTTCGGGCATCTGTATATTTTGTTTCCAGACTATGAATTGTGTGCCATTCAGGAAATCTGGCCTAATACAGGTCTTTACATATTTTTACAGTCACTGTAGAGGAACATTTACTGTGGCTCATGAAGATCAGTCCTCCTATCTGTGGCTGTTTGCAAATAATTGAGAGGCTACACATACTGTGATTGTTCACTTGAGAAAATCCTACTTGACATTTTTTATAAAATTGTTAGGATGACTAAATCAGGAAGGGTGAGGCCGGTAGGATGTGTGTGACACATCAGGGAATCAAGATCTTGCCAAAGTTAAATAGGAAACTGCAAGGGAAGATACCACTTAGGAGATTTAGGCATAGATAGGAGTAATTTAGGAAAACTGATCTTGGAGAACTTATTTGTATTGATGTAGACTGAATTCAGCTATCTGAGTTAGCATAAATTGGCGGGCTTTTTAAAATGGATTCCATGAAAACAAGGAATTAATGAACTGAGTAACAATGAACTTTACAGGGAAAATTCTATACCGTGGAGTTGTTAACAAAATATTGGCTTAGGATAGGATCCAGTGTTTAACTTTTCTGAACGTGCTCATTTGTCCAAAGAACATCCTGGACTATGGTTTTAGATAGGAATTGTGTCCTGTCTAAATGTTTTCTTTTTCATATACTAGATTTAATGTACTTATTGAGCTAAGTACAAAATGTTGTGTGACATACTCAGTATTAATGGTATTATCCACTGAATTGCTGTGACATTAGTAGTGTTCGTTCTCAGTCACGTTCCACACTTTGGTCTTCTGTCTGTATTTCAACATTGTGCACAGCTTATATTGTTTATATTGATTCTTGAAATGGTTTTTCATGGATGATGTCAGAAAATGGTTCTGTTCCTAGAAATTGATGTGGCTTGTTTCAAAACAGATGATTTTGTTCCAGGTGCCATGTACATATTAAATACTGTTACATGTTTTAAATAGATTTGTGTTTCTAAGTATGTACTGATTTCATATTGTTTATGAAGTGTAAATATTCCAATATCACGAGCCGGGATAGCTCATTCAGTATAGTGACTAGCTACGGGTTCGATCCCCGACGGGGGCAGAGGATTTTTCCTCTAGCCTCTGCGTCCAGACCGGCTCTGGGGCCCACTGCTAGCTTTGGCTCTCAGAGGGCTGTTACACCATGGATTATTATTATTATTATAACCTGTAATATGATCTTACTTGAAGCAAACCACAGCAATAAAGTTGCAACCATAAATTGTTTTATAGTTAATGGGTACAAAATGTAGGAAGGATAAGACATAAGAATTTGAATATAGATACACACAAGCTAAATTCCATCTAACATTTTTCTTCCTTATATGCAACTTTATCTTAGGCTAAGAATAAAATATTTTACAAATATAATGTCAATGTAGATAATAATTATAATCAGGTTTGGACCTTGCCAATCTCTACATTCAAAATAAGATAATCATAAAATTAATTAGACTAAGGACTTTATTCCTTTTTGAGGTTCTTCAGGATATTTGAATATTAATTAACTTTTTCCATGGATTGTATAAAAATGCCATATTCGTGTTTGCTTGACAGTCCTTCGTCATCTGTAAAATTTCACAAAAAGTTTAGTTCAGTAAAAATGCTTATAAAGCTCCAGTTAAGTAAGCCTGTGTCTCATCCGTGACTTTTGAGGTTTCATCTTTCGAAGATCTTCACAGGACCCTTAGTGCTGAAGGTAAAGTTGTAGCTGTGCCTAAGTATGGCACCATGAAGGCATATGGTGACGTAGGTAAAAAGTAAACATTTTAAACAATAATCTATTTGCCATAATTTAGACATCCATGTGATATTTGTTTTTTCACTTGTAAGTATAATTAATTTTATTTTTAAGATTGATGATTTTAAGATCATGATGCCATCTCTTCGGTATCCACATCAGGCTTTATGATGGGAAGAAAAATGAGACTTTAAGACTTTACTTGTTTGTAATTTATAACTTTTGATGTGGCTATAAAATTTGTTGAAACAAAAAAAAATCTCTGTTATATCACAATGTGTATTTGATGGAAAAGTTCTGTCCATAATGCACAGCATACTTTTGTTTGCAGTGGAGCTATTCACAACAGTGAGATGGTTAAATACCATGAACAGGAAAATGCAAGATGTTTTCACATCAAGCTACCCTGAAGGATTCATATCCAGAAACCAAATCTGTTAAAAATGCATTACTACATCAGCGTATGATGATGTAAGCTGGCATTTATGAAATGTCAGGATTTAATTTATTATACAACTTATATCACCATTTAGGTAGATATCACTGA